CGCTCGTGGTCAACCAACATCTCAGTGTCTGCTCCGATAGAATATAAGCATAGATCGGGTTCTAATGTAAGTCAATACTTGAATTCAAAAAGAAGCTGACAAATACAAAGAGAAGAGATGAGGCGCAAATCGACTCAACGCCGAGAAGAAGCGGCGACGAAGGCATCGCCCACAGGGTCACTCACCGCCTCCCATTTTCGGTGGAGTATTGTTCTAGATTTATTGATTAAATTAGTGAAATAAGTTTTCATATGTCCCTGAATTTGTTTTTATTTATTAAATCAATGAAATTTATTCATGGATTCGGTCAGAAACTCTCGTCGTTAGAGCCGCTCAACTGCCGTCTGCAGCTCCTTATGAATATTGCCTCCGTACGCCGTCGACTCGTTCACGTTTCACTGAACCCCTCGAAACCGCCACAAAAGCGTGCTGATCTCTTTATTAATTTCTTTCTATCAATTGAGCAAGGTTATATTTTCATGTTTTTTTATGTTTTTCAGAAAGAAGAGGCGATATTCCTGCAGTTCGATCGTCGCTCCACTGGTGCCGCCGCTGCATGCAGGTTGCTCGGTGGGGTGCTTCATCGGTGTGTCTCGCGAGTTCCGGCTGGGTTTTCGGGTTTTGTTGTGAAGCTAAATAAAAACGAAAGCTTTGGAATTCCCTTTCCATCTTTCTACAGATCAACTGAAATCTGAACCACAGGCCGGCTGCTCTTGAGCGCCGCCTGCGCCCCTAGGCGATCTTAGTGAAACCCGCAAAGGGTTCAGCTCATTTAAAATGCCGCAAATAACAAATTTAACAGAAATAAAACACAGAAAAGTTGAAAGCACATTTTTACTACGCGTCACACATGCGATTGATGTCGTTTCTACGGCCATACACAACCCCCCTCCACAATACAGAGGAAGCCAGCAATAACTACGGAAGCAGCCAAGCCCACCAATCGTGCCCCCAAAACAAACAGTTTGTAAACCCTTCGAGTGCGTAAAACAAAGGAACAGAGAAAAACTACGAAATTTTAGTGACGGACAACAGAGATAAACTGGGTTTAGGTGACGCTGTGCTTGCTAATTTGCCAGTCGAACACAAGTTTGAGTAGAAGGGAGCAGGAGACATGAGAGATACGAAGGAAAAGGATACAAAGAGTTGCAGCAATTGTATGTTATTATGCTCTGTATATATTATTCCTCTATGGAGACGGCTCGGAATAGGTAAATGCGCGAGTTGTGTATTTTTTGGTAATGTAAGGAGAAAAGAAGCGACGCACAGCAACAGCAGCAGTAAACAAAA